TAGCTCTTTACTTATAGATTCTAAATACACAATCGGAGTCATGTTTATACCCTTTTGGCCAAACGAATTATTAAAAACTAATTAATTTATATTAGGTTTAAATTATAATTTCAGATTTTAATCTATGATTGTATTATATTTCAATTTAGTTCATTTCAATATATAATTTAATATAATAATAATTTACTTAATCAATATAAATAAATAATTTATATAAAATATCTTAGATAGGCTAGGGCTAGGACTAGAGCCCGGGGTATTCCTCGTTCAACTAACTTGAAGGCTACGATTGCGATTATTATTATGAATCCGTTAGCGGATGGGTTTTAGCTTCTATTATTCTAGGTAATGAGAGATGATGGATGATGGATAGTTTTACTATATCTAAATAGTTTTAGGGAATTTGATTATAATAAGATAAGATGTATCACTATAAGAAACACCTTACCACGCAATAAAAATATCACAATTCATTTCTTCATCCCTCCTCATCCCTCCTCGTCCTTATTCCACAAAATAACAAAAAAACCCCCATCATCTACCTATTCTCTTAATTATCTAATCTAATCTAACACCCTTCAGCCTTTAGCATTATTTATTATTATTTCATTTTCATTTCAATCCCTTCCTTCTTATAAGATTTATTAATAACCCCACCACCTCATAACCCTACTTATCCTCAACCCTCCCCCCCCCTTCCTCACCAGATTCGATCAGATTGGATCAGATCAATCCCTACGCGACCTCCTTTCCTTTCTTCCATTTCATCTTCCTCTCTAATTCCTCCCCTGGCCCTTTCCATTCCATCCATTCCATCAATCCTATCCCTCCAAATCTATTCTATTCTATTTTATTCTATTTTCCCCTGCCATCTCCATCTCCATCTCCATCTCCATCTCAACCCACATCCAAATCCATATCCATATCCATACCCATACCCATATCCAAATCCAAATCCAAATCCATCTTCATCTCCATACAAAAACTACTCGAGTACCATTTAAACATCACATCACCCACATCACCCACACATTATATACCTATACCTATTCATACTCAAACTCAAACTGAAACTCAAACTCAAACATCCCACTCAAACAACCAAATAACATATCATCACCCACATCAACATCACATCACATCACATCACCCACATCACCCACACATTATATACCTATACCTACTCAAACTCAAACTCAAACTCAAACAACCCAAATTACCCATATAACCAACAGTACAATACATACATTATATAAAGACTACCAACTACCCCATCATATCATGAACTTAAAAAAGTTCCATCCATAATCCATTCACTGCATATTTGGTTTACTGATTAAATACCCCACGCCACTCCAAAAACCAAAAGGACAAGAAACAAAAGCAAAAAGAATGGATTTTAAATCTGTATTTCGCTAATTTGTTACTTCTCTACCTCTCTACCTCGGTGTATGTAAATTGCTGCCTCCTGTCTCTATCTTATGTTCTCTGTCTGTGTCTCTGTCCTCTGTCTCTACTCTGCTTCCTAGTTCCTAGTTCCTCTGTCTGATCTGATACCACCCTGTATTTATCTCCACTCTCTACTTTCCACTCTCGACCCTCCACTCTAGCCCACCACTATCTCTCTATATCTCCATCTCTCTCTCTCTCTCTCTCTCTCTCTCTACTACTACTACTAC